ATTTAAATAATTAATTTTTTAATGTATTAAAAATTTATAATATTAAATATATATTTATTTAATAATATATAAAAATTATATAAAAATATTATTCTTATATCATCATCATCGTTTTCTTTTAATATTTTGAAGATGGTAAATTTTTTTTTATGACAAGGCAATGACACCCAAGATAATTAGATACAAGCAATTTTGTGTGGGTCTCACCATTAATTAATTAAGTGATTAACGATAGTTTAAGCCTCAATTGATTATTTTCTCTCTTCTCCTCTATCAGACCTCACTCGAACTTCTACTCACCTTCCTCTATCAATCCATTTAGAAAGAATTCCAAAAGAAATCATCCTGTGCTATCATCATTTTCCAGTCAATTTGTTCTCATAAAACAAATAGAGAAAACGTCCAATTCCATCATCGTTGTCCTTAATTAAAAAACAAAACATTTAAAGAAATTAAAATTGAAGAGCCACTACCACGGGTTCATTCTTTTTTAGGCTCAAACAAAACCAAATTTGGGTTCATTATGAACCCAAATCTAAGAACCCACTTCTTGGGTTTCTTCACGAACCTAGGACCTGTGAACCCAGGTCTTGGATTTGTGACAAACCTAGTTCGCTAGGTTCCTCACAAACATAGGTGTTTGGTTCTTATCTTGGGACCTCAAGTCTTGGGTTCTTGTGAACAGAGAGAGGTGGGGGAAAACAGAACAGAGAGAGGTGGGGGAAAACAGATGAAATGATTGTGTTGAAGGCTTGAAGCCAAGGGTGATTTGGGTATGTGAGGAACAGGGGTGGAGGGACAAGGAAGGAGAAGGGATTTTGTGAGGAAGAAGTTGACTTCAAGGGTAAATTGGTAAATTCAATTTTGCAAATAGTTTTTAATTTTGGTCAAAATTTTATTGAATAAGATTAAAATGTCTACATCAACATTTCTCTATAATTTTTTGAATTATAAAATAAAAAATCCTTAATGGCAAAAGATGCCGCATTACTCTTAAATTTAGGGTAAGCCAACTCTCGTCCCTCTATTTTGTGAAAATGTTCAATTTAACCCTTCTACTAGTAATCACCTCAAGTCGTCCCTCTACTTCATTTTGAGCTCGCATGTCCTCCCTTTACTATTCAAAAGGTGATTAATTTCGTCCCTCCATCCATTTTGGCTAACACCGTCACTTTTACCGTTAATACCTTATGGTTTGGGCCGTTTGGTTTTATCTAATTTAGCTATAATAGGATCCACTAATGCCACATCATATTCCATATTAATATCTTTCAACAGGAAAATTTTACCAATTTTTTCTTTTCCAGTTATTAGCCACGTTAATTTATCTCTTTTTATCAATTTTTTAATTGAGTCAATTAAAGGATGATTTTTCAAAATTATGAAGGTAATCAAGTAAATTTAATTTTTTTAAAAAGATAGATAAAAATTTTTTGAATTTTATTAAGGTTCAAAAAAATTATAACTAGAAAAATAAAATTTCATAATGTCTATTATTATTTTTTTAACTGTAAATTTTGGATGATCTAAGGTGAACTCACAATTTACGACTCTATTCATGTGTATAAATAGGCTAAGGAAGTATATGGGTGAAGTATTTGTTTATATTTGTATTAAATTTAAAAGTTTATAGATATAAAATTTTGATACTTAATATTTATTTAAGTATTAAAAATCTATTTCTATTATTTAACACGTTGATGTACATGTGATATATTTGCAAATATACTAATCTTTTAATATATATTAAAATACAATTAAATCTATTGCAAAACATATATTTTAGTTTATACATAATATTCAAATATAAGTTTCTTTAAAAGTACTAGTCCAATATGAGAGGTATACTTTTAAAATAGCTCTTAAAAAATATACTTTTCTTTTTTAAACTATAAAAAATGATTATTATTTTAAGACAAATTCAAAAAATATTTATCTCTTAAAATAAATAAATAAAAGTTGACATGTATAAAATAAAG